CTTGTGCCCCACATTATATAATCACTCACTCACAATGATTTGAATTCAATTAAACCATTGTAATTATCCAAAATCAAACTCAAAGCATGGTTACACACCAATTCCAGAGAATTTATACATCATTTGATTTGGCAATTGCTTAGCTTCGACTGTATAGTATATCTATATACACTTATACATGTATATATGTGCGTACGTATGTATGTATATTGTATGTATGTATGTATGTATGTATGTATGTGTGTTGTTGTAAAGTTAAGAATGAATAGACCCAGATATTAGGTTTTTATTAACAAGAAAGACAGACATTGACAATGAATGAATGAAGGTAACGCGATCAGCACTTATCAATACAGGGTGACCAAAAGATGAGAAGTGAAGTCCAAACTAATAATATCACATTCACCCCATTCTTTGAAATGTTACCTATCTGTCAAAATGTCAATCTCTAACAAGAGTTCACAATAATATCAGAACGAAAAATAAACAATAACGGAGGTGTCTAGATGAATCAAATCAGTTGGTTTCATAGTCTCTGAGATAAAACGGGGGGTTCCTTACGCGTTGGCGTCTTGAAGCTGAAATTGAGCTGCGTGCTATGGTTTCAATATTCTCAAATTGGGGCTCTAGGTCATGGGAGTTGATTTGAATCGTTTCATCTTCATGTGCAGGTCCATTGAGTTCTTGGTCTCCAGCAAGCAAATCAAGGCCCTGGTCACGGGTGTCAGGTGTATCAATGCAACCCGGCGTTCTACTCTCATCATTGTTGACTGCAATTCCACTGGGTGCCAGCTGTCGTAGGGAAACAGTCGATTCCGTACCATCTTTCCTTCGGATGAGGGCATACTGAGGATTGGCTTCCAACAATTCGACTTCTTCGACCGGATCTTCGTATTTGCTGCGCCTCAAGTTACGTTTAGCGAGTACAGGACCCGGGGACAACCATGACGGTAGAGTGGTACCATTGGCAGTTCGTCGCTGATGAACAAAAAATCTCTCATGTGGCGTGCAGTTCGTTGCCGTGCACAATAAAGACCGAATGGCATGAAGGGATTCTTGGAGAACATCTTCCCGATCTTCAGTTCTCAAACCCTGTGTTTTCAGTGCCAAATTTATGGTCTTCCACAACGTACCATTCAGGCGTCCAACCTGCCCATTGCCCTGTGGATTATACGGTGTTGTTCTGCTTGTGGCAACCCCATTTGCATGCAGGAAAGACTTCACTTCGTTTGACATGAAGGAGGCCCCTCGATCTGAGTGTACGAAAGCTGATGTTCCAAATAAGCAGAAGAGATTCTTCAGACAGGTTACCACAGTGGAAGCAGATACATCATGGCATGGATACGCAAAGGGGAATCGAGAAAACTCATCTATGATTGTAAGAATGTAGTAATTACGGGTTTTGGATGGGATTGGTCCTTTGAAGTCGATATTTATCCTTTCAAATGGTGCAGTGGCTTTCACTAGAGTACCAGAGCTTTTCACAAATCTAGGTTTCACCTCAGCACAAATCGAACAGGCGGCAATGATTTTTCTGACATCCTCAAGAGAATACGGGAGATTCTTGTTCCTAAGCCAATGGTACATGCGCGTTATGCCAGGGTGGCATAGTGACTGATGAAGTTGATGCAGCTCAGTAACGCTAGTTGCATTACAAATTCGAGAGAGAGTGTCGGCTTTTGTATTTTCAACGCCTGGGCGATAGACAATATCGTACACAAATGGTGCCAACTCCAAACGCCATCTCGTTATTTTTTCATTCTTGATTTCACTAGCATGTTTTTGGTTGAAGATGAAAGATAATTCTTCCTGATCAGTTATCAGTTGGAAATGCTTCCCAAGAAGGAAAGATCTCCAGTGCCTCACAGACTCCACGATGGCTGCAGCTTCCTTTTCGATAGATTGGTGTCCATTGACTTCAGATTTGTTCAATGAGCGAGAAAAGAAGGTCACCGGTCGTCCATCTTGGCTTGAAGTGGCTGCCAAGGCATATTTTGATGCATCTGTCTCCACCACAAGAGGGCGGGATTCATCCACCGTGGTGACCACTGCGTTGGGAATCTCTTGTTTGAGGTGGTTAAATGCAGAAGAAGCTTTGGTATCCAGGGGAAATGTTTTGGAGTCAATCAGGTCCCGTATCTTGTCTGAAAATCGTGGGATCCATTTGGAATAATGGGCAAAAAATCCAAGTGCCCGTTTTAACGATCCTGCATCATGGGGGAGTGGCATGTCCAACAATGGAGCAAGACGAGAGGGGTCCGGTTTGATTGAGTTATGGGAAACAAGGTGGCCAAGAATATTTATCGTTCCAAGGTCGAACTTACTCTTGTCTTTGTTAACTTCAATGCCCAACTTGTCGAGAACCATCAGGAGCTTGTTTAGATTTCGATCATGGTCAGCTTTATCAACTCCACACACGGTTATATCGTCAAGATACGCGTAAACTCCGGTGAGCTTCTCATCAGCGATAATCTGGTCAATGACGCGCTGGAAACAGGCAACTCCGTTGGTAACACCAAATGGTATCCGTGTGAAATGGTATAATTTGCCATTGGCTTCAAAAGCTGTATACTTTTTATCATCATCGCTTATGGGATTTAGTGATAGGCATTTTTCAAATCTATCGTACTGAAATGGCTGAAACTGGCAACTTTTCGAATTAGATTGTCAACATTTGGTAGGGGATAGGCATCCAGGAATGTATACTTGTTTATGGTTTGTGAATAGTCAATCACAAGACGTTTTTTTCTGCTTCCCTCTATCACCAGCACTTGGGCTCTCCAAGGTGAAGTGCTAGGTTCAATAACTCCTTCTGACAACAGCCGCGCCACCTCCGTCTCAATGAATTTCAAGTCAGTCTCACAGTATCGACGAGACTTGGTTGCGATTGGACGGCAGTCTGGAGCCAGATGACTGAAGAGCCGTGGGGGCTCAACATTAGCTACTGACGAGCAAATAGTGAGGGACTCTTTGTTGCCTCCAAAAATAAGTTGAATATTGGAATGCTCTTTCAGAATATGACCTATCAGTACATCTGAACAAAGTTCTTTCAAGACTGCAAGTTTGCAGTTGTTGTATACATGTTTATCAATTTCCATCTTGACAAGAATGTGTCCCTCAATGTTGGTCCATAGGGAAGTCGAAGCCATAGACACCCGTCCCTCAGTTGGGGTGACTTGAATGCTGTGTTTTTTTGTAAAGTCAAGACTTACAAAACTCCCTGAACTTCCTGTGTCCACTAGACAACGACATGGTATTCCGTTGACTTGACAGCTCCAACAACCACAGCTCGACTCAATTGAGGCAAAAATCCGTTCAGAGTTGCCAGAATTGCAGCTGAGACATGTTTTGATTTCTTGTCATTCCTGGATTTCCGACAAACCCGAGCATAGTGACCTTATATCTTGCAGAAGCCACATTCTGCCTCTAGTGCTAGACAGGACGACCGTGGATGGCGATCAAATCCACAGAAGAAGCATTTTTTGCTGTTTGCTGTACCAGCACATACCTTATCAAAACGCCCTGAGGTATCTGCGCCATCGACTGAGGCACTTTGGGCAGTGCTTGCGCAGGCGAGCTCACTAGTACCACGAGCATATTCATCTGACCGTTTTTGAGCTAGGTCAAGGGCTCCTGCCACTTGGATGACTTCTTCCAGTCCCTTGGTTTCTCTTTCTTCGAGTATACGTTGGCGAATTTGTGGAGAAATCAACCCATTTACAAAAGAGTCTCGGATGTACTGGTTTTTGTGATCTTCCGCAGAAACAGCCTTGAAGTCACAATCCCTGGATAAAAGTTTCAAAGCTTGAACATATTGTTGCACACTTTCTCCCTGTTGTTGTTTGCGTACAGCAAGTAAGTGCCTGGCAAATATCTCACTCTTGGGTTTCACATACACGTCTTTCAATACTTTAATAGCGTCTTTATATGTTGTACATCCTGCTGTATATTCATGAACGGAGTATGAGATGAAATTCGCAAGTACCTTGAGTCGATCGTCGTCGAATAATTGTTCAGTAGAGACATCAACAAAGTTCTCAAATGTCTCCAACCAGTGAGTGAATTCCTTGCCAGCACTAGGAGAATCTGGACTTGTGTTGAACTTCTCAGGCTTCAAATACTTTTCCATCACCAAACTTTTCTTGTTAATAAAATTGTTGTAAAGTTAAGAATGAATAGACCCAGATATTAGGTTTTTATTAACAAGAAAGACAGACATTGACAATGAATGAATGAAGGTAACTCGATCAGCACTTATCAATACGGGGTGACCAAAAGATGAGAAGTGAAGTCCAAACTAATAATATCACATGTGTATGTATGTATGTGTGTGTGCGGGTGTGTATTTCGATAATAAACATTTTTGCTTGGAAACATTCAACTTCAGATGGGTTATTTCATCGTACAAGTGTTTCTTTCAGATGAATACTGCCTGTCTCCAGTTTCTGCCACATGCATAAATTGTTGAATTGTTATTTATTATTCAGGACAATCACATTTACTTTTGTCACTACCTAATTTCTCATATTTTCCTTGAGTTGATATAATCAATGTCAAACATTTCCACATACAAGTTTTCTTTTAGTGGAATACTATTCATTCTATACCTGAAAATGTATTTTTGTACTATAATTATTATTATTTTCATTCCATTGGAATCTTGAATAAATATTATTATTATTATATGAAAATATCCATTTTTTATGTTCAAGATATTATATCTGAGAATATCACTTTTCCATACCTTCACCCAATCATGGTTTTCAAACTTGAGAGATGGAATCTTGTTATTCCTCAATCGCAGATTTGTGATTAGGTTTTCTCAATTCAGATTTTCATTCTACGTCCTGTATGATGAATATCAATTCTTCATACACCCAAAAATTCGAAGCCTAGATAACTATAATTATGTCGCTGGATACGAACTGATTTTGACGTCATTTTTATCCAGGTTTGGCAGATGAGTAGGTACTTATAAACAAAAAATACCGTTCACAGTGCGGGAGTGTTCTAAACAAACTTATACGCAAATTGGAGATTACTAATACAATGTTGGTTTAATAAAAATATACTCGTGGTTTTTAGAGGAAGTGACCTAAGACTTGAGTCTCTTAAATACAACTTCCTAATTTTAGAATGACAGTAGCGAACGAGGATCCATTGAATATGGACACGAAAATAACGATTTGTGCTGTTTTGTGCACTTTTTTATTTTTGGTGAGTTTCATCTACTATATTTCAGTCAACTCTATCCATTTTGATAATAGTCGATCTTCTGTATTGTTCTTGAAGATGTTAACGATGTTAGCGAAACGGGAGCCAGGGTGTTACAAAATTTGGACGGTTATTGGTTGGTGTTAAACATTGTTGATACCTGGTGCTATAGGGAATTGGGTCACCCCAGGAGCTTCTGCATTCGTGAACAGATTTTTCCTTAAATTTGGTACAGTTATACAGGGTGAGTCATGACCAACCAGCCATAACCTAATGGCAGATAGAGGAAGTCGAGTCGATTGGAAAAATATATTCTGCCTATTGCTAACAGATATACTTAGAGGGCATTTTCATTCGGGGCAAAATTCTGAACAACGATAGAGAGAATAATACTTTATTGTCTCACGAATTACATCATGGTTACAAAGCATGTAGGTCGACAGTGCCTAAGTCAATATGAAATAGTAACATATTAAAATAATGCTACACTAATAATAATACAATCAATAGTTAAACGTAACAAACATGTTTCATAAATAAATTGAAATGAAATCATATTTCATGGTAATGAATAATAATTATATCACAGATCCAGTGAATCAGTAAAGTATTCATCAAAACAATAATAGGGTCTATCTGATAATGAATGCTTCAGAGCTTTCCTGAATGCATTGGATGGTCCAATATCCTTCATACCAATAGGAAGATGATTGTAAATTTTTGTCACCATTATAAATGAAGGAATTTTTAATGAGAGTAGATGAAGGGAATATAAGTTTGATATCTCTATTATGTCTTGTATTGTGATGTAATGGATGGGGACTGAATCTATCGATATGATTTTTCATTAATGAGGTAGTTTCTAATATTAATAGGGATATAACTGTCAGTATTTTTTCGTGACTTTAAAAGAGGTTTACAAGGGTCGCGAAAATTTGCACCACACATGTAACGTACAGCACGTCTCTGTAGGAAGTATACTTCTCAATGAATTATCATTACAACTTCCCCAGAACGCAATACCGTATCGTAGGTGTGACTCAATGAGAGAGTGGTACACCATCTTAGCCGCTGTGTAATCCAATTGTTGTGAGATTAGCTTCACTGCGTAACATCTTGAAGATATTTTTTTTTTCTCAATAAAATAACATGGTTTTCGAATTTTAATTTACAATCGATATGGATTCCTAAACATTTTTTACAGTTCTTATTCTCAATGTTGCCAGAAGCAAGTGTCAAATTATCAAGAGCACATCTGAATGTTATCAGAGTTGTATTAATATTGAACGTGAGTTTATTGATTCGCACCACTCTGTGATTCTGATTATATCTTTCATTATAATGTTATTCAATTCAGTACTTTTTCTGCTATGCCATATGATAGTCGTGTCGTCTGCGAATAATGTGAACTCACCAGATATTGGTCACATTCACGTATAGCAAGAAAAGAACTGAACCAAGGATCGAGCCCTGAGAAACCTCACAACATACTTTTTGTGTTGATGAAATTTCTTTTTCAGTTTTCGTCTGAAATTCACCAGCAGCTTACCTCTACTGATACACCACACGAAATTTCGACTTTCTGAATCGTATTTTCCAAAAACTTTCATCAGAATCAGAAAGATTAGGAGAAACAGTACATGTGTCGTTTTTCAATTTGTACGGCACACTTGGACCGGATTGGTGAGAGCATATTGAAGGAAATTCAGATGAACTATTCTATAATTTCGTACTGGCTATTGTAGTCACATCGTTCAACAATTTCATTCAAACCCTTTTCTTGCACATCGGTGTATTATTATGATTTGAAAGAGAATCCATTTGATGATGAAAAAAATAGCAATACCTATATTATACCTCCTCTCCCTATCGTCCATATAGGTACGCCCGATGTTCTTTGAACATTATATGAATTTCCATGTGTGCGCTCCAAGAGATGAAAAAATATGGAAAATAATGACTAAGGTGAATAATTCTTTTCGATTCAGATAAACTATGATCTCAATCAGCGAATCAAATTGTGAGTTTGGTATGTTTCCATTATTCAGAAAACACTACAAAAGAAGGCTGTGATGCAAGGATGTATGAAAGTGGATTTTTTTAATCACAGTATATTAGACTATCATCTATGGAGACATATAAAACGATTGGTTTATCAGACTGAGGAACTGGGAAAGAGGATTGTTGTAGCGTCAGATATGATCAGAAATAATAGGCCAATAATTCGAAAAACCATAAGAGATCTTTTGAAGATATACAGAAAATGAATAGAAATTGGAGAACATTTCGAGAACCTTCGATGAAAAATATAAGGATGAAGACGAAACTTTTTCGAATATTATGTTTCGTTATTCTTTCCAAAAACCAAGTCCAGTACTGAATTTTGTTTGATAATCCCTTTTCTTAACTCTGCTGCTATATCATCTGCAAAAAAAATGATCCGAATACTTCCAGTCGAAAGTAGTGAGTAATGGCCCGGACGAAATCGAAGAAATATTCATCTGAATTTTGTTTGATATTTTGTCACCAATCAGGTCGGAGTATGCTGTACAAATTGAAAAGCTACACTTGTAGTGTTTTTCCTGATCTTCCTGATTATGATGGAAATTTTTGAAGAATACGATTCAGAAAGTCGAAATTCTGACATTTGAAAAGTGAATTAGTTTTCTATGACCGGCTCTGGAATTTTTCTTTCATAGTAGACCATTGTGTGGGATGTCAGTAGAGGTAAATCACTGGTGAATCCAGAGCGAGAACAACGAGAAGTTTCTAAAATGTTTTTGTTAGGAATAGACAGAATATATTTTCTCACAGATATATCAACTCATCTTGACTACTTTTTGTTGAGTATTCTGTGACTATGGATGGTTAGTTATGACTCACCCTGTATAAGCAACTATATCGGACATTACAATCCAATATAGCGGACTTCCGGTTTCTCTGGAAATGCGAGGAACCTGCTTATTTCAAATGTATATCTCTACATATTCTGATTCAACTGCTCGAAACAAGTGCAATCAGCTCAATATCAAATGTAATGTTTTCGAAAAAAAAAAAAAAAATTGAAATCTTTTTTGTTTTTCTCGTGGGTGAATGAGATGTGGTCAAGGTTATTCACAATGAGTCTCACATACTAGTGATAGATTTTTTTCTGATAATATATATTTTGTGTCAATTATCCATGAATCATTCTGGTCACATCACATTTTAATCAAGAATTTTTTTTCAATGCAACCCCTACATACATCAAGGAACAAATGACAAATCAATCTTTCATTTCAGTGCATAATTGTTATCTGTGATGAACTCGGATCCTTTCTTGAGTTTTTTTGACTATATCTATCGAGCAGGACGTCAAAAAATTATAACAAAAATTATTAGAAATCTTCAAACATTCTCCTAACGATGAGAAGAAGCGTGCTCGAAACGATTCTAGTAGTATATTGTATTTTTTTTTCTAAAAGTTGTGCGAATTCACCCCTATGTGTGAGGTCTCTTCGAACAGAGCTCTAATAATAATATACATAAAAATCCGAATATCATTATTGATCCTGCAGAGGGTTGAGTCGAACAATTATTGAAGGGAAAAAAAAATTGAGCCAGTTATGAGTTCAAAAGTCTCAAAAAATACTCGAAATCAATGAAACTGAAAAGGATATCCATAATATTTTGTTTTCATTTACATAAATATTGTAAGATTGTGTCAATTTCTATAACAAAAAAGAAAATAACAAGTGGACGAAATATAATATTCCAGAAATATATATTAAATATGAATCGAGGATGAAATATGACAAATAACTCATCTACGGCGGTCTTAGGACTGCTGACTGGAGAAATTGCTGAAACAAAAAAGTTCGGAGAGAAAGTACCCCTAGCTTCACATATATTTCACGGCCCTGATGAGTATTTTAGAAGATACCTAACATTCTCAAATCGAGCATGAAATATTGGGTTCATGAATTCAATTCATTGGTTATCCCATCACATATGGTTTCGAAAGTATTCACATAGAACCATCATCTCTAACTCTTCTTCAGATGGCTATAACTCCACATCAGGGGGCCATTTCTGGACCTATGTTTACATAAACTTTTTTTACTATTTTCGATCCTAGAGTCTGTCCTTGAAATCTTTCAATGTAATTCCGGAATACTCTGTATACAGGGTGTGATTCAATTGGGAGCTGAAAATATAGTATATGTGGTTCCTCAACTAGTTTGAAGATGAAAAATGTTATTGAATATATGCCCTGAACCTCTCAACTTCCGAGCTAAAGGATGCAACAATATGAGGAAAAATTTTGTTTTCTTATCATCACGTCAATATTCTGTTCTAGATATTTTCATGAAATCTCACTAACGCCTACTGAGCAGCAATAGACATTTTTTGATGCAGGGGATATCATTATATTCCTACCATTGGCGTCCATATGGAATGTGCAATGAAGATTTTCCAAAAAAAGATATGGAAGGCCATTGTTTTTTTCCAAAAATAAAAATAAATTTTGAAATCCTCATCAATTTGATTGTTTCATTGACCCCATCAGTCCGATGCACCAGTCGCGAGTAAGAAAATATAAGCCATTTTGACTGATTCAATCATTTGACTTTACTTGAATAAAGATTAGACAAAAAGACATCCTTCATACAAGCAATCACATGGTGCTCAGTATGTGCATGTTGAATTCCATGAGAAAATCTAGAATATTATAGAGGATATGATGAGAAAACTAATGAATTTTCCGAATTTCATCACCCTATATAGACTGCCCCACATTATTTGAAGTGAGACAGGCAAAATTTTTTATCATTTTCAAACCGTCATAACTTTGGATTGGATCAACCACTCTTCAATTTCTTTCGAAATGGGGTTGTACACTCTAATCGAATTCACGCCACATACCTATTTTATATTGATCAGTCCGTGTGTGAATAGTATTTGATGCTATCAGTTGTTATTTAAAATCATCCAAAATACGTTTTTTCATTAATTGAAAATCA